GAGGCTGGCTGCCCCCCCCCCCCAAGCGAGGGCCAATGGCTTGCAGCCGGCCGGGCCTCACGCCCTCCCTTCCTCTCACGGGTCCGGCCGGCTGGTTTAGAGGCGGCGGTGACAGCGAGGCCGGCTGCAGAGCGTTCCCTGTGCATGCGCAGGGAACGCTCTGTCAGTTTTGGGGGGATTTAAGTACCCCCCCGGTTTTTTTTAACTTTTCAGATTTTTGTGCACACCTGGGGACCACCCCACGTGTGCACAAAACTCCCCCTCCCCCCCAGGTGCCCCAGGTGCGCGGATTTAGCTATCCACACACCAGGGGGCGACTTGGCTATTAGATATATAGATAGATAGGTTCCCCTGACGAAGCCTGTTGGTGAAACACATAGGGAATTTTTGGACATTTGAGTAATAAATTATACTTTTACCTGATTTTGCACCATCGGCCTTGGCCCTATTTTTTATCTTCGGTAGTACAGCTCCCCGTAATTAGCAAAACAAGAACAAATTGTGCAAAACAGGTAAAAACTGCACAACAGGCATGCAACTCTATGCAAATCAACATGATTTACACACTTGATTCAGACTGCAGAATTAAGCGTTGCTTGTTAGGTAATGTGGATTGCTTATGCGAAGAGTACACACAGACATCAATATTCCTTTCCTCATGCAGAAGTCTCCTTAGTGCAAAGAATTCTGTCCTTGCATCGTATTGGAGACCTTACCCTTTCTGGCCTACATGTGATCTCCTCCCATCAGGTTCTCAACCACAAGATGGAAAAATCCAGGGAATTTGGGGGCAGAGCCTTGGAAGGGCATGAATTTGGAAGGGGAGGGATCTAAGAGGGATATAATGGCATAGAGTCCACCCTCCAAAGCCACCATTTTCTCCAGGGGAACTGGTCTCTGTAGTCTGGAGATTGTAATTCCAGGAGATCTCAAGGCCCCACCTGGAGGTTGGAAACCCTGTGTTCCTTTCTCCTCCTCTTCCTTGATGGTACTCAACTTCAAAGCTATTGGGGGGGGCATAAAGTCACGGCTGACTTATGGTGGCCCCTTAGGGTCTTAAAGGCAAGAGACATTCAGAGGTGGTTTTGCCATCATTGCTTGCTTCTGGCTCCAGACCCTGCTATTCCTTGGTGGTCTCCCATCCAAATACTGACCAAGGACAACCCTTCTCAGCTTCCAAGATCTGATATCCAGCTAGCCTGGGCTATCCAGGCCAGGAAACAAAGCTCTAGAGGATCTCATTAATAGTTTGACGAAATGCAAATATATTACAGTAGAGTATATTTTGGAAGAAGGTTATATTTTTCATGGAAGCTCTGCAGCCATTGTGAGGGGGGAGTTGGTTCTGGTCCAGTTTGGTGCAAATGGGCCAACTTTAAAGATCATAATTGGTTTATTAGGAAACTGCCATTGGGTAGAGCTTGAAATTACTTAACTAAGGGGGAAATTAAGTATCCTGTGCCATTAAGAGATGGAGTCGTGTTCAGCTATGCAGAATGCAGCTATACCATCTGCTCTGGAACCTTCCCTCTCATCTGGTGAGGATAGAATGAAACTGCATAGTGGTGAAGAAAAAGAGGCACTCTGCACATGTTTGGAGTCACTTTCTCAAATCTTCAGTGACTGCTTCGGGAGTTAGACAAGGCCATGTACCTGAGATGTTAGTATGATCCCAAGTATACCACTACAAATTGGGCTACCCAACATCACAATTAGGCAGGACCATTTAAGTATGGATCGTGACGACCCATCCCCCATTCTCTTTCCTTTTGCTCTGCGTGCCCTAATTGAAATTTAGCCTCTATTCAGTCTGGTCCTCTTTTCTTGCCAGTTTTTGCGGCTGTCTTCCTACTATCTCTCTGTCCTCGATGGATTAAAAAAAACACACAGAACTCAGGTCATTCAGTAACCATGAATAAACAGTTTGAGCTTTGTTTTTGTTTTTACACGACCAGTGAAGAAATAGCCTCCTACCAGTCTGCTGAACAGTGCCGGAGTTCCTCCTCCAGTCTACAGAATCTGTCTCCAGTTTTTCTGGTGTTTCTTCGCCGAAGGGTATGATGCAAACCTCTCATTTTATTTATTTTATTTATTTATTATTTCGACTTTTATCCCGCCCTCCCTGCCAAAGTGGGCTCAGGGCAGCTCACATAAAACCACTAAAACAATATATATTCAATACAAAAATATCTAAAACACTGCATAATACAATTTAAAACTATTGTTATCGATGGCGGTTCTCTAAGTAAAGTGCGTTCACATGCTGTCAACTGTACTACTGCTCTGGAAAGCTTCTGCTCTAGGTCGGCCCAGAGGTTTTAACTCTGCAGTGATTTGCTTCTGGATTCAACCTGCTTAATAATGTTCTTGCTGAAACCCAAAATACCAAAAAGCATCAGTTGTTTGTTTGGGATTCCTGATCGAGCTGTTCTATGGTGAAATATTACATACATCCAGAGCTTAGCTGAGGTGAGGTATTTCTCTTTTGATTCAACGTGTGTTCAGGTTTCGCAAATATATTCTTTCACTGCATAATAAGCTCAAAATGTATCTAAATGCTTCTCATCTAGTGTCCCCAGTGAAATATGTCAAGATGTGCAGGTTCATGGCAATGATTAGTCGAACATGCTTTATAAATGTTCATGCTCCTGTCCTTTTCCTGTGTGTCTGGACTACTACTGGGAGGAGGATCTTCTGAGGCTGCCGGGGAGAAAAGATCCCCCAAAGTCTTGGTCCTTTGGGTATCTTCTTTCCCCACGTATTATCCATTTTTATCACCCCAGGAAACAAAGCGGCGTCTATGATTTCCCCCAGCGCTCCGTTTCTCTTTCAGCAGGGAACTATCCCAGCAATTTCACCAGGCTGGAATGCCCCGGGTGGGTAAGAATAGCCGACAATGGCAGAGATTATTCCGCTGGCCTTTTGTCTCCTTGCAGTTGTCGAGCTGGAGGTAAAGAGCAGCACGGAGGAGGAGGAGGACCCTGAGCCTCTCATTGCCTCAGCTGTGCCTCCAAGGGGAGAGTCTTCCCCCTCCGCAGTCCCTCGCAGCAGCCCCGGTTCTGCCTGCCTGGGGTCTGAATGCTTCTTTCTCCCGAGGGACTCCTGCCCTCCTGGCTGAGGACTTCTTCTTATGCCCCTTCTGTAGGCGGGGGTTCCCGTGACCAGCTTCAGACATGGACTCCTGGGATTCACTAGGCTTTTTACTCCTCATCCTCAACTACAATGTGACCATTATAGGTGAGTCTCTAAAAACCTGCAACTGTGTTTTCTCTCTCTCCATGGTTGTCTACATTGCCAGCAATTTTTATTTATTTCTTTGCTTAATTTATCCTGCCCTCCCCGCCAAGGCAGACTCAGGGCGGCTAACATTTTCTCTGAATTTCTGATCTTCTCTTAATTTTTGATTCCCGACTCCTCTAATTTCAAGAAGAATATTTATCCTTTTGAGTTGAATGTTGGCTGATTGGCTGTCTGTGTGTCTCCAGGCTTTCCCCCTCCGGCTGTCTCCCCTCCGTTCCGTAATTCCTAGTAGGAACCGATTGTGCTCTGCTTGTGCTGCACCTGATGGACTGTGCTATAGCTGGCTGCCGGCGATCAAGCCATCATTTGAACAGTGATGAAAAAGGTCATTGATGAGACTGCGAGCGCTTGAAATAACCCGAAGGAACCTGACGGATTGCTTGCTGACTTCCATTGGGCTTTTGACAATGAAAATATTTTCAAAATAGTCTCAAAGTGTAAGCACCTAGCCAGTTTCAAAATGCATTTTACAGTGTACCAGTCAGGGACGCTGCGAATATTGCCATGAATATGTTTAACAGCCAAACTTACCATGTCTGAAAGCGTTATTCAGATGTGAGCCTATCACCCAGCATGGTCGGTTCACCCTGAACAGCCGCCAAACAGGTCTGGATTGCACTTCTGAAAAAAATTCACATGTGCTAGGATGGTGTCAGTTCAAACAGACTGGCAGCCACTGGTGACATTAATGATGGACATCGAAGTGTGCAATTTTAATAAAACGTAACACTTATATAAGAAGAAGAAGAGATTGGATTTACAGCCCACCCTTCACTACCCAAAGGTGTCTCAGAGCGGCTTACAAACTCCTTTCCCTTCCCCTCCCCACAACAGATACCCTGTGAGGTGGGTGGGGCTGAGAGAGCTCTGACACAAACTGCTCTTTTTCAAGGACAGCTCTTATCAGAACTACAGCTTGCCCAAGGTCATCCAGCCAGGTGCAAATGGAGGAGTGGGGAATCAAACCCGGTTCTCCCAGATTAGAGTCCGCGCACTTAACCACTACACCAAACTGGCTCTCACTGATTCCTATGATTTGTGACCAATCTTAATTTGTCTACACCCGTGATTGGTTTATTTACAGTGCCCCCGCACCCATAGGTTCCCTCTGGGATCCGGACTGACCGAATGGCCCGTTCTAGGATCCCCTCTACCTATCAGACTGGCAGCCACCGGTGTCATTAATGAAGACATCAAAGTGTGCAATTTTAATAAAATGTAACACTTATATAAGACTGGTTCCTATAATTTGTGACCAATCTTGATTTGTCTGTTTAAGCGACTGCTTGTTGAGCGGAACAGTTACACACCCAGGACAAGGGGCAGTAGAACTCAATCAGACTGTGTGACAATCAGCATGTGCAGTTAGCCAACTGCACTGTGCAGCTCAGTTAGGAAGGAACACAGGCAAGCAACAGCCATGGATGGGTTGATGAACAGTCAAAATGACTGTTGAAAAATCAGCTTCCTGGTTTTCTGGTTTAAGCGTTTCGCTACTCGGTTACTCCCCGTCTCGCTCTGATGGAGGTGTGCTGAGACTCGGCTGACGGGAAGAGTCCAAGATCGTTCCGGACTCTCCCAGGGTCTCTGGGGAGCTGAGGAGAGCCTCTTCCAAGGTGACGGCCAAGGAATTGAGGCTCACCCTTTTCCCCGAAAGGTACCGTCGCCATAGAGCCAGTATGGCGCCCAGAGATGACTGCTGAACAAGCGGACATGGTCAAAACTTTTAAAAATGCTTCTAAAGATCTCCAAGGCTGCAAATCGTGAGTTAAGCAATGCTCAGGTGAAATAAAGCGACTTGGTAGCGATTAGAAGCATCTAAGTGCAAAACAAGGGTGGAGGGGAAAATCAAGACCCCCCCCACTAAAATCAAAGCAGTTTTAAAACGGAAATAAAATACTCTAAGCAAAAGCAAGCACATAAAAATTTAAGCGAACTCAAAATCTGCATGAAGATACAAAGTTGATTAAAATCGCTTAACTTTTGTTTTGTTTTTAAAAACTTACTTCTTGTTGATATTATGGCTGGGAGAGGGCAGAGAGCGACGCTGGAGAAAAAAAACATTGACCGGAAATAATCAACCAATGAATTCCTCCCAGAACCAGGAAGTAACTGCAGATATATCTACACTGTTAGCGAATGCACTGCGCCCCCTAATGGAACAGATAACTAACCTCAACAGCAAAATAGACAATGTACAGAAGCAATTGACTCAAATGGACAAAAGAACCTCAGCAACTGAAAAGATGCTAAAAAAAATGGAAAAACAGACAGAGTATTAACAAAAGAGTGGATGAAGCAGAGAAAGAAAGATCATCCAAAAAACACAGCTAATACAGCTCCAGCTGGAAAGATCCATGTATGTTCTACGATTCCAGGGGATCCCTGAAGATAATAACGAAGACTTAAAGGAGCTTATAGCAGAAGCTCTTGCACCATTAATGGATTATAAACAAGAAGAACTACTGGACTGGGCTTACAGAACTTATCCAGACTTTATAAAGAAAAATAAACTCCCCGGAGAAATATGTTTGAAATTCATGAAGCAATCTACCAGAGACCTGGCGCTGAAATCTACACAGGGGAAATCCTTGAAAATCAAGAATGAGGAGATAAAAGTCTTAAAGGATATTCCCTTTGAAATTAGGAAGCGGAGGAAACTTTATAGGGAATTCACTCTTGCTCTACAAAAAAAGGAAATACCCTACCGATGGGCATTCCCTGAAGGACTGAGTTTTAAATATGAGGATAAAAGAATTAAGATTGACTCTGTTCCTAAGGCAAAAAAATTTATGGACCAATATTTAAACCCAACACAAAGTAAGAAAGAAAAGAAGACAAAAACTAATGAGGAGGAAGAAGAAGATGAAGGAGAATCCTATTCACAGGATTCATCAAGCACTAGTTCCAACTCTTCCAACTCTTCAGAGATGTTGGAATCAGAGAAAGGAGAAGCCGCTCCCAAACCCCAAAGATCAAAGAAATGCAAGAAGAAAAGACTCTAAAATCAAGATGATCGTTTATATTGCAGTTGTTGCAAAATAGCCAACTAAAGCAAACTCTTATTATCTTTGTGTATAACTTTTATATAAAACAACAATCTTGTAATACTAGGTGACCGAGCTACATATCTATGTAATCAAGGTTGTGTCACTATGTTAGTTCTCCCTCCCCTCTCCCTATTAGAAAATGTAGAGTTAAGATGTTAGTGTCCCTTCCCCGATTCCAGTAGTTTCAGTGTATTAGTGTTCCAATCCCTGTTTCCATTAGATTTAGAGATAGGGTATTAGTGTCCCTTCCCCATGACCCGTAGTATTGGAAAAATCAATAAAATCTTTGAAAGAAAGAAAGAAAGAAAGAAAGAAAGAAAGAAAGAAAGAAAGAATAATAATAATCAGCTTCCTGTTCGTGACTGGTGAACACACTGTGAGCCAAACTGGAGGGAGTTCTCAAGCATCCCAAGTTAAGAAGAAGAGATTGGATTTATACCCCGCCCTTCACTACCCAAAGATGTCTCAGAGCGGCTTACAAACTCCTTTCCCTTCCCCTCCCCACAACAGACACCCTGTGAGGTAGGTGGGGCTGAGAGAGCTCTGACAGAAACTGCTCTTTTTCAAGAACAGCTGTTATCAGAGCTATGGCTTGCCCAAGGTCATCCAGCCAGGTGCAAGTGGAGGAGTGGGGAATCAAACCCGGTTCTCCCAGATTAGAGTCCGCACACTTAACCACTACACCAAACTGGCTCTTAAAATGAGCTGGGTGTTTTCCTCTATGAAAAGGGGATTCCAACTGAGGATGTGGGATATGAAATTATCCCTTTTGGGCTAAAATGTATGTTTATTACGGAGTGCCCCCAAGGGCAGTGATATCTCAAATCAAAATCTGTGATTAGTTACTATGGTCGCTACTGATCATATTGTACACTGGAAGCAGGGCAACAGAAGGTAATTTCTGAGTCATAGTGGAGTCATGGGATAACAAGGCCAGTTTGGTGTAGTGGTTAAGAGCAGTGGACTCTAATCTGGAGAACAGGGTTTGATTCCCCATGCCTCTGCTTGCAACCAGCTGGGTGACCTTGGACCAGTCACAAGTTCTCTCAGAGCTGGTCTCTCAAGAGCAGTTCTCTCTGAGTTCTCTCAGCCCCACCTACCTTACAGGGTGTCTGTTGTGGGGAGAAGAAGGGAAGGAGACTGTAAGCTGCTCTGAGACTCCAAATGAAGGACGGGGTATAAATCCAATCTTTTTGTGCAGCTTCTGCTTCTTCTGAACCAACAAAAATCCTCTCTCTTTTTTTGCTTCTGTCAAAATTCCACATGTTCTTGATTTGAGGTGCACCTCAAATGTCACCTCAGGGAAAATCTGCTAATATGCTAGGAATGTATGGTACCTAGCAGAGAAATTTAGCAGTACAGAGAAATCCCTTGGGCACCCCTAATAATTCTTCAGACAACCGCCTGAGGAGAAGCCCTCCAATCTGCACAATTTTTTGGTGCCGACTCCAATTTGTTTCCTTTCCAATGTATTTTGACTTATCCCAGATTAAAAATACATGTGACAAGGACTCGTGGTAAGCTTTCCATGAATTCCCTCAGATTGCTAGAGCAAGATTAAGAAGCCCACTCTTTTGTGAACAGATTCCTAACGAACAGATTTTTATTTTTAAATCGTGGCATAAGGTTTTGCTATCTAGAGCCTGCTGATTGGTCTGTAAGGTCCCAGCAAGACTCCAGTTTGATTTTGCTGCAACAGACAACGAAAAACGTTTTAGTGACAAGACGCTTTCTTGAATTAATTTTAATTAATGTATTTAAATATTTATATGCCACTGTCTATACCGTAAGACACCCAAAAACACAAAATAACGATGCAGAGACCTTTGCATTTTAGGAGGTGAAAGGAAAGTGAGCCTGAACCTGGATAGCCCGGGTAAGCCCCATTTCATCACATCTTGGAAGCTAAGCAGGATCCAACCTGGTTAGTAATTGGATGGGAGACCACCAAGGGAGTCCAGGGTTGCTACACCGACGTACAGGCCTCTGAATACCTCTTGCTTTGAAAACCCTACAGGGCTCCTGAAAGTCAGCTGCGACTTCACAGGGACTTTCCGCCACTAGGGACATTTGCCCCCCTGCACAGCGTCAGATTTTCAAAAGCCTTCAGGGTGAATCAATGGAAATCCCTCATTTTGGACAGCTTACTTCTTCCGTAGTGTTTTGTGGTGCTACTCTCTTACCTGGCGATGGTTGTCACCAGTGTTACCTCTAAGCTGAGCTAATGTGAGCTAGCTTACAGTTTTTCAGCCTCCAGCTCACAGATTTTTGTCTTAGCTCAGGAAGGATGGCTCCAGAGCAAAGTAATTTATGCAGCAGCCAAATCGCTCGCTCACCACTTTAATGTCAGTAGCTCACAAAGTAGAATTTTTGCTCACAAGACTCTACAGCTTAGAGGGAGTATTGGTTGTAACAATCACCATCAGCCACATATTGAAGTGTATGTCTATGGGGACACAACAGTCATTAAAAATGTGTAAGAGTTAAGTTCATGTGGCCATTTCCAGGAAAGCCTAAGAAAATTGGGGCTTTTATAGGAGAGGAAAAGTGGCTACAGGGAAATATTACAGTGGCTTATAAAACTATACCTGGGCTGGAGAAATTGGAGAGAGAAATTTTTCTTCATCTCCCAAAATATGAGAACTTGTAGGCATGTAATGAAATGGATTTGCTGGCAGTACAGGCCAGGAAATGCTCAAAGGCAGTTAATTAATGGAATTTACTGCCACTGGATGTAGTGATGGCCATTGTTTTGCAATAAGAACACCAGTGACTGCTAGCGACTATGACTACATGGAACCTCCACGTGCAGAGACAGTATACCTTGCGAATACAGCTACTTGGGTGCAACAACATGGGGAGATTTGGGTTGATGTGCCCTACTGGCAGCCTTTCAGGGAGCATCTGAATGGACACCATGTGAAACAGGGTGGCAGACTAGACAGATCATTTTGCTGATCTAGCACAGTTAATCTTATGCTCTAATGTATGTTCTCTACACAAGCCCTCAAACAAGACCTCAGAATAGTTTGCTAAAGCACACAAGGGCCAAATTCGACAAAGCCTTGTTCCCACTAGCTGTTGAGTGATTTTTGCCTGGTTCTCAACTGGTATAGAAGTAAGTCTGTGGCCCGTCAGCCTGTAGGCAATGTAAAAACAACCTGTTGGAAACTAGGTGCTGACCATAAATATCTGGAACAGGGGTGTCAAACGCATTGGGAATGTGTTATTTAAAGTTTTAAAAAATCTTTAATTATGTTTGTCTGTGTTCTTTATAAAGTTTATATCTCTGCTACCTGGCATTACATCTTATGACACACATGGCCCGGCCCAACAAGGTCTCATTTATGTCAGTTCCGGCCCTCATAACAAATGAGTTCGACACCCCTGATCTGGAGGTTCTTTCACCTGCTGTATCCCTTTCAGTGCTGATGTGTCTCTGCCCTTGTTCTTCTTTCCCAGGAAAGATTTGGTTAACTCTAACCATCCTGCTGAGACTACTGGTGATCTTCTTCGCAGCGTACCCTCTCTACCAAGATGAGCAGCAGCGCTTCATCTGCAACACCTTGCAACCGGGATGCGCCAACGCCTGCTATGACATGTTTACACCCATATCCCACTTCCGGTTCTGGCTCGTCCAGACTGCCTCTGTCCTGCTCCCTTACATCCTGTTTTGTGTCTATGTGTTTCACAGTGTGGCCAGGCAGCTTCTGAAGGCGCGTTCCCTGCCTTATCATCGATACAAAGAGATCAAAGCCACATCGGGCCATAAAATTTCAAAGAAGTCTTCCAAAGGGGCGGCAGGCAGCAGAATCCCCTGTGAGGCAAACAAAATGGATATTCCAGATTTTTCCAAAGCGTATATCGTCCAGCTTCTTCTGAGAATGCTGGTTGAGGCCTGTTTTGGGTCGGGCCATTACTATCTTTTTGGATTCTTTGTTCCCAGACACATCACCTGTAGAAGCGTGATACCTTGTCCATATAACATAGACTGTTATCCTTCCAGGTCCACTGAAAAAACTATCCTGATGTTCTTCATCTGGGGACTCAGTGGCATCTCCTTCCTCCTCAGCCTCATTGACCTGACCTTTGCCTTCCGAAGCAGCATTGTCAGAAATCACCGAAATAAACTACTGATGGAAGGGCTTGGGGCTGAGGGGAGGTACAGTCCTGTCCAGCATCAAGGTGACATGTCAACTTTGGAAGAGGAGGCCAAGACATTGTAATCATGACCAACTATTGTGCTAAAGTTAATTTCCTCCGTGTTTGGCTGTGAAATTTAGGAACAACCTTCTTTTTTACCTTGTGTTGATTCCCAACCAGATTATCAGCTTTAACCTCAATAGTAATAAACATAAGTTTGTATGTGGGATTTCCCCTAAAGATGGTGCCGGCTAGGTCGTAGCATCCGTGTTCTCTCCAGTAAGAAGATATTTAAGAAACTTTAACTGCTGTTTGATACTGACCTGAGGAATTATCTACAATAAGGAAACTGGTTAAACTGTGTTCTTTACTTGGGCTCTCTGCCAAGCTGGGCTTTCTGCCACGTGATTACTCGGTGTGTTCTCTTGCTTACTCTATTGTAGCTAAAATGAAGACACAGAAGCCTGAGAAGGGGGGAGAGAAATTGATCAAAATGACCCAACCCCAAAGCAAGCTAAAATAGATTACTTTATGACACAGAATGTTGTTTCTCAAATTCCAGTTTCAAACCACTTTGCTTGCTTAATTACACCTTCGGACACTGTGTCTGAGCATGAGCACTCTCCCTTGAATTCCCCCTTAAAGGTGAACTCTGAAGTAGATGCTACAACAGAGAAAGAAGGCTCTGAAACACCAAATACCTTTACTGCAGAAACACTATTATTTACAGCAAAAACAGTGGATTTACTTTTTCGTGAACGTTGACTTTTGCATTCTAAGGTGGACAGACTACTAGCTGGGAGTAAAGAATGCATTCATAAAACTTCTCAAAATAAACCAAGAGTAACATCACCTGC